TAAGATTAATAATGATAAAAATCGGGACACTCCTGATTCGGATGAATCGCCGTCTTAGGGTGGGGCTAGATCGGCCGACGCGTCAGACTATTGCGTAAAAGGAGGGGCGTCAACGGGAAATTATTGCGAGATAAAGTAACGCTACAGTAAATAGAGCAAGAGGAAAACTTTCTCTCATTTTTTTTTTTTTCGTATGTAGGCAATGGTGCGGCGTGTGCCAAGGAAGGTTTTTGTTGGCAAGGGAAAGGCCCAGGGAAACGAGTCCGACCGATATCTCTATTACATGCGTTTATGACGTAACTTTGAAGAGTTTTGTCTGAGTATTCGAAATAATTCCTTACTTGCGACAGAATTCTGCCGCAAGAATTTTATTAAGTCCAACCCCCCCCCCCCCCCCCAAAAAAAAAAAAAAAAATAAATAAAAAGAAAAAAAGACATTTTTTTTTTATGCGATTGGAGAAATACAATTGTCCGAATGAAGTGGGATGCCAGGAGGACTATATTTACGCTCCAAAATGCTATGTCCTCCTCCCCCCCCCCCCCCCCCCCCCCCCCCCCCCCTCTACATTTGTTGCCTTATTTTATATACGTAATATAAAACAAGGCAACAAAATGAACCCTTCACGAACCTGGATTTCTTCGGGTTCCGTTCGTCAAAGTGAACGAGTGCGTCTTGCGACGAGCGGTGGCGGATTGACCTCGTGCCTCCGAAAACGTTCAAAGCCGTTTCTCGTTTGTACTCGGATTAAGAGCGATGTCGACCGGGCACATCCTTGTCAGGAAGAACTTCATATGCATCCGGTCCGGCCGGCTAGCCACCACGAAACGGCTCTTCTCTGATCTTCTGCTGTACCCAAGTTTCGATAGCACCTTATTTTTTGTATTTTTATTATTTTATTGTCCTATGTGTCTGCGTACCAGGCGTCTTATGAATAAGCAACGAGGCGCTGCGCTGCTTTGCTTCGTAGCGGTTGATGCGGCCAACAGGTCAACCGCGCGCTCCTTTCGATTTCTGCCGCTTGAGGGCGAAGACCCTTGCTTCGCCAGCGACAAGTTACAACGCTCCAAAACATGGCGGCGAGGCAGCGACGTGCGGGATCTCGGGTTCACGGGGCGGCTAAATGGTACGCGATTTTTCTCCCTTCTCGAATCGTTGCAGAGTTGAAAAGTGTTCGGCGAGTTCCAAGCGGAAATGTGTGTTGTGATGGGACAACCGCTGCGGGTTTCCGTGCGGTCTTTCCGACGCGGCAGCTCCGGATGCAGTTTGTCAGCGACAAAGAAGTGTGCCGGGGGAGGGGGCAGCTGCGGTTGCTGCCAGGCACGGTCGCACGGTCGTTCACGCATGCAGTAGTGCCATCGGAGCTGTTTCTTCGTGCTGTTGTCTCGTCGTTAGAGCACGGTGTAACCTCCAACTTACTCGCGGCGCCGCGTGAAAGGCCTCCAAATTGTTACTCGCTTAAATTGGGCATGTTAGCGATCGGTACCGCACTGACCGTAGACCTCGTCGGTTCCAATGTTTATGTCGCTTAACCCGCTAAAATGGCGTGTTGATGATCGATTGCCTAATTTTCGAGCGTTTTATCGACTATTAGGGGGATGTAATGGAACCACGGTTTGATTACGCGAATCGGTTTCGTGCCTTGTACGCGTGTTTCTTATCTCAGTGGGGGTTATTTATGCGTTGGCCTTCCCGTGTCGCGCCGCTATGTTCAGCCAAGATGGGGAAAATGTGCTCTCTTCTTTGTGATAGGTAGACAGTCGGATTCGAGTCGTTAGGTATTACGTTTTTTCCGTGCTCTGGGAGCGCAGCGGCTCCGTTTACTTTGTTTCCGGATATTCGCGAGTCGAGCGACGCCCTCTGTTTTGTATACAGACTGCCTCGCGCGAATCTGCAGACTTTCTGCTGGTAACCTTCAATGCCGCGGTTAATTGCTCCTTGGATCATAGCGGTCCAACAATTACCTCGTCGTCGGGTTAACATAGTCGGTTTCGAGTGCATCTAATGTCGCTAATTGCGTGCATTGCACTTCTTTGTTAATTGGTGATTTTGATAGTTTGGTTTCAAAAACGAGTCAAGGCGCAATTATTCTTGATGCAACTTCGGGCAATTAAACGATGTTGTTCTGTTTTGTTATTAGTCTAGAGGACATTCTGGGTTGACATATCAGTAACAAAGAGCCTTCGTGTGTTATGAACATACACATGTCTTTCAATGCAGTGTATTAGCGTCGTCGTGTATCGGCGCGCGCAGCAAGGTTGTACTCCGTTTTTTGTAAAATAGGGCAACTTTTCTCAGGCCCATCCACCCATTTTCTTTTCCTTGTTGCAGCTGTTTCAGAGTACTATCTAATGTTGTTTTGTTTTCTCAAGAGGGCTGACAAGGCTGCTCTAAGCAACCTACATGCTAGCTCATGCATGTAGCATCGAAAAATATTTTCTAACAATTGACGATTTATCAGTGTCGTTATTGAGGATTTGTACATAGTAGCAGTACATTTTTGTGGTTCCTTAAAGCTATAAAACAAGATCAGAGTGTTGAACTGGGCAAGTTGGTAATAGTTTAACATAGTAAAAATCACAACTGCAAAAAAAGGAACAAGAAAAAAAAACAAAAAAAAAACGACCTGCGTCTAAGGACCACGAAAGACACTTGCTACAGGACAACAGCTGTTGCAACAGGACAACAGCTTTTCTCCGGTGGCAAATGTTTTTTTCATGGTCATTTTTTTTTTAGCTGTTATTCCTATTATGTTAAACTACAAAACAACATTACCAGGTGCCTGTAAATCATACATCTCTCATACTCATTCTGTGGTTTCACCAAGAGTAGCTGCAGGTATACAATGGGAGTTTTTATTGTTAAAACCCTGGAATCTTAGAATGACTCCTTGGCTGTAGTGTTTAGTCTGCTGGATAGCTTAACATCTAATTATTGTAGTGCCATGTTGAAGTACATTAAATATAAGTGTATAAACATTTGATTTCACCATTCATTTGCAAATCACCAGAACAAATGCCGAACAAGTGCAAAACAAACAAATGCATAAAAACCGAATAAAGCCTACCATAGAATACCGAGCATCCACCTATTCCACAATAAGTGCCCACCCATCAATTTTGTAACATTTGGAAAATACACAAAGGACATATCTTTACATATTGTTGTTTAGTCTGTTGGATAGTTTAACATCTAATTATTTTAGTGCCATGTTGAAAGACATTAAATATAAGTACCGTAGAATACCGAGCATCCGCCCATTCCACATTAAGCGCCCATTCACAAATTTTTAAGATCTAAGAAAATATGCACAGTACATTGATATGTAAAATTGATGACCGGACAACTGCCCATCCCCCAATTTTTCGCGATTATTTCTAAATTTTGAGTGGACGCTTGCCCGATATTTTACGGTATATACTGTAAAATCCCAAGAGATGCCCCACCCCCGAAAGATAGCCCACCTCTATTTTTGGCTTGATTTGCCATATTTTTTTGATACACCGAAAGATAGCCCACTTTTAGTAGTAGTAGTGTTGGGATCAATGATGGTCTCCATGTAAATATGGCTAGTTCGCTTTGGCGGGATATAAGCGAACATTGCTGACTGGGAAGTACAGTGATCTTTATTTCGTTCATAACAAGCTTGGAAGGGAAACGTGATAAAAATTGCAATTTTTTTTAAAGTTTTTTGATTGTACACCCACTCCATATTTTCAGCCAATTTGCTCGTGGTGTTAGGTTGGCTATCTCTCGGGATTTTACGGTAAACATTTGATTTCACCATTCACTTGCAAATCACCAGAACACACCGAACAAGTGCAAAACAAAGAAATGCATAAAAACCGAATAAAGCCTATTGTAGAATACCGACCATCCACCCATTCCACAATAGACGCCCACCCCTCAATTTTGTAATATTCTGAAAATACACAAAGGACACATTGTTTACCTAAGAAGCGCCCACCCCCAGTTTTACAGATTGTCTCCACATTTTTGGCCGGGTGCTTGCTCAGTAATTTACGGTAATTATATTCATCTGCAGTTTAAATAAAGCCATTACAACTCACTTGAAAATGTGCAAATATTTTTTGTACCTTAGTGTGAAATTATTTAAATAAAGCTTGTATTAATGTTTTTAAGCAGGTGTAGTATGCCTTGGCAAGAAAAAGCATTCTCATACCTTGGTAAAGGCTAAACTTTTATGGTTGCTGATTTGCCTCAAAATTAATTGAACATATTAATAGACACGACTGGTCCATAGTCCGTTGCAACTCAAGAAGGTAGGGCGAGGGTAAGATGGGCCAGGGAGGAGGAAGCAGACGAAATGCTAAAGAGAGAGGGATGTTTCCCCCTTTCTTCTTCAGCGTTCCGTCTGCTTCCTCCTCCTTGGCCTGTCTTACCCTCGCCCTACCTTCTTGAGTTGAAACGGACTATAGTAATCCACATTATAGGTCAGAAAAAGTCTTCTTTGTTTTTTTTGGCAAAGTTACTAAATTTTAAAATTTAATCTTTACAATTATTTTTTTACTGAAAGGCTCTACTGGCAACACTGAAAATGTGATGACAGACATAATTTGGGCAAAACAACATTTTCCCAATCGGTTACAAGAAGTTTGATTGTGTGAAATTAATAGTGGGAAATGTGTGACATACTGTGCTCTTGAGACTGCCTGCTCGACCACTTCTGGCCGAAACATCCATCTGTCAAATCACCCATTAGGTCACATAACACCAGAGTCAGAATATCCATAGTGTCAAATCATCCATCCGAGTCAAAACACCCATTAAGTCTAAACGTCGGAGTCAAAACATTCAGAGTCGGAACATTCATAGAGTCAGAACATCTATCGAGTAAAAACGTACATTGAGTCGAAACATCTATCGTTGAACGAGATTGCCCCAGAGTAATAATGAATGTATTTCCCACTGACCATGATGTCATGATGAATGCTTTGGTACGGTCAATGCGATATGAGTCAAAAATTAACTATTTGCTCGATGAATGTGAAAGAGCCATCCAAAGCCGCATATCCAGTTCTCTACAACACTTGCAGAATTTAGTATTCACTAATACGTCCTCTACCCAATCCGTGAAAAACTGGGCCCACGAAAATAAAGACAGTAGTAAAAGCAAACTCACTGCTAAAAGTTGGTGTTGCAAAGTCTTGTTGCCAGGTGCACGCTGCCATTTTAATAGAAGTTTGTTATGTTACGTCATGCCAAAAGTGGAGATTCGCTGGCGGAGTGGTATTAAATCGCTTGAGCGGCTTATGTCACAGAATTCTGACCTTATTCTGGCTCAAGCTCTCGCGCAGTTTGAGAGCTCATTGCGCGCTTGCTGCTCCGCCGAATGAATGAATACGGTAAAATAAAATATTAAAATTAAAATTGTTATGATATCTAGCACGTTGGTTTTGATTAAATATCTATTATTCCTCATCCTGAAATACATAAATTATTCTTCCTAAGCCTCCTCGCAAAAGACCATATGCATACCCAAAAATAAAAAAAGTCTTACAATAGGGAGATTAGTAAATCTTTTTCGTGCATCCGCTCCACTCACCACGTTACGGAGTCATCCGCACTGTGCATGTGTGTCCCACCTGAATTCAATATGAAGCAGGGTGCCAAGACTGTAGTAAGTAGTTTTTATACGCCCCGATTAGATACAACGGTGACAAAATGGTTCGTAAGCAGTGAGAGAGTGCAGGCGAGCTGGTAATTAATCGACATCTTGTAAACCCTAAGATGGGGAACGATAAAAAAAACGGATGAAATGGGCATCGTCACTAACAGGTGTACTGGGCACTGATGCAGTGATGAACAATATAACTCATTGTTTCATACCCAACAAACTTTCATAAAATATTTAATGTTCCTTTCTTCATAGTTGATTTAGGCCCATCAGGGAACCCATGTCGTAAGTCCTGCTTTCGACGTTCTCAAAAATTCGATTAAACAAAACGGCCTTCTTTTCATGCAGAAGGATAATTCATTCAACGAATCAAAACATTCATTAGGTCTTGTGATAGCAGAGTAAGAACATCCATCCAAGTCTAAAGATCCATAAAGTCAAAACATTCATAGAGTCAGAACATCCATGAATGGTTGTTTTGACTCGAT